AGAGAAAAAGTTTCCTCAGGAAGAAAAAAAGCTAGCAGTGCTTGCTAGATACTGGGGGACATTAAAAGATTTGGCCCAGGGGCAGCCTATTAGAGTAGTGACACAAAGCCAAGTGCACAAGTATCTCAGAAAAGGGACAATAGAAAGTACCAAAGCTACTAAAACAAGGTGGGGTAGATGGGAAGATATTCTATTAGATCCCGATTTGGAGATAGGCCCTGCACAGCCAGTGAGTAAAAAAGCGGCCAAAGAAGTGCCCGAAGAACCGAAGCAGCACGACTGGACTCTCTACACAGATGGATCCAAAAAAGGGTCAGATCAGGTAGCACACTGGGGATTTATCCTCAAATATCAGGGGAACGAGTGCTGCCGTAGAAGGGGGAGAGTTCAGGGAAGTGCACAAACAGGAGAAGTTACGGCAGTACTCGAAGGGCTACTAGAATTAACTCACAAGAGAATAAAAACAGCTAAAGTAGTGACAGACAGCCACTATTGTGCACAAGCTCTAAATGAGGATTTAGCCATCTGGGAAGAAAATGGATTTGAAAGCGCCAAGGGCAAAGTGGTAGCTCACCATGACTTGTGGAAGAAAATAGCTGAAATTAGGCTAAATCTGAAGTTAGAAGTAGAGCACCAAAAGGCCCACACTAGAGAAGGAAAATACTGGCAAGGCAACGAAGAAGTTGACCGTTATGTACAGCAGAGAAAAATAGTCTTTGTCGGGATCGAGGAGTGAGACAGAACCTCCGAAGGTCGGAGAGTCCCAGAGAAGTACGTGGAGCAGGTTGTACGGGGCGTGCATGAGGGTCTAGGTCATGCAGGCGTACAACCCACACATAAGGAGTTGGAGTGTCAGGAGCTCAGGGTCCCGTTGAAACAGGTCCGCAAGGTGTTGCAAAACTGTGATGTATGTGGTCAATACAACGCAGGAAGGCGAGGGCACCGAGTGGATGGACAAACCATCAAAAGTACCACACCATGGGGCTCAGTATGCATGGATGTAGCTGGGCCTATGGGAGTCACAGGCAAGAAAGGAGAGAAATACCTTCTAGTGCTGGTAGACTCGATGTCAGGGTACGTGGTGGTGAAACCAGCTAGAAAAGCTAATGGCAACAGTGTTGTTAGTATGCTGGAACAGGTCTGTGGGTCGTTAGGAGTTCCAAAAGAGTTGAGAACCGATAATGGGACACATTTCCGCAATGCACAGGTAGATCACTGGTGTCAGACTTTTGGAGTCATGCGCGTTTATTCACCTCCTTACACACCTCAAGCCAATGGAGTAGCAGAAAGAGCCATAGGTTTAGTCAAAAATTGGATAGCTAAAAATGCTAATACCAAAGAATGGAGTACTAAAACTGTGGAAATATGTCAAGCCTTGAATGACAGGAGACGAGCTAGTAGATCCTCCCCCTCAGAAGAGCTCAACCAACGACGTTTTAGCACGCCTGAAGTTGGGCGGAGCTCTGAGGATAAAGAGGAACAGTCAGACTCTGAGGCCCCATTCAGGGTAGGACAGAAGGTGTGGGTCAGAGCACAGGATCACCCATCAGCAGTTGCAGTGAAGCCCAAATATAACACCACAGACAGAGTGAGAAAAGTGTTAGATAAAAACACAGTTGACCTAGAAAAGAAAGGGATCCAAGGAATAGAGCAACTGAAGCCAATTCCTAGCTAGTTGAAACCAGAAACCAGAGTATGGCCACAGAACCAAGCACCATGCTCCCCTATATTAGACTGGCCACTATATGCGGGGGAGTGATACTAAGAAGAACAGTCTCAGGGCTTTGGACGGGTAGGGCCTTGAGCACATTGGAATATGCAAAGAAAGGATACCTGTCAAAGGAAGGAGAAACCTTCAGGTGGAGCTTGCTGGAGAACAATTGTACGCTCTGCCTGAAACCAAGTGGATTACCTCTTCTCTGGGAAGGACCAGGGAAGGAGAAGCCCATCAAGCCTAAAACAAACAAGATGGACACACGACAGCTGCAACTAAAACCTGTAAAGGTGATGGATGCATTCATTTGTGGAGAATGCAGGATTACCACATTACCTCGAGCAACTATCATCACACAATGGGATAAAAGCGGCAAAGGCCCAAAAGACTGTGCATGCGAGTGGGATGGAACCGAAGTAAAATACTGTTCAGCCTGTGACACACAGATGGAGGAAGGCCAACTACTGCACTCTGAGAGGGCAATGGGCTGGCAAGTAAGAAGGTATCACAGTCCCCTCAAATCTTTCAAGGCTCAACTTGATGAAGAAGAAACCAAGACCTTAGAGGGATCCCTGACTGAACAGCAGTATGACCAAGAACTCATCTACAGCTCTCTAAAGGTAACACCTTCAGCCCCACCATTATATCCAGAACTAAGAGAACTAGAAGAAAGAAAAGAAAGACAGCAGCACAGGAAAAAGTTAAATCCCAGAAATTTGCTTGAGCAGGCTGTACAACAAGCCTGGCCCTATGATTCTTCGAGGGGCAAGAAAAGGAATGCCCCCCTCGGCACACAGCAGTTCCCCTTAGTTTTTAGAGTACTTCGAAACCAAACAGGCGCAGGGAGCAAAAAAGAAGAAGCAGGCATGTTACCTGACGAAGAAACCGGTGAGGCTAGACACAGAGGCTGGACAGGGCCCTGGGAATTAACAACATGGGCTCAGCTGATTACGGAGGTAATTATGAACCAGGAAGTCCCCCTGGTGCCCCTGCCAGACGTCCCCCGAGAGACTGGAACCAGACGTAATAACTTGTACTATTATACTACTAGTCTGGATGGATGGGCCAGGCACGAAGCTAAGCCCATGCAGAAAACAGTCAAATTCTTAGTAACCCCTGAAGCTTGGGAGAGGAAAGGAGTGCTTCATATCCCCGGAACTGCTGCACAGAGGGCAGGAACGCCCACAAAGCCCGACTCCACCCAGAGGGTTAAAGTTTCCGTGCAGATGGTCATTGCACCATACCAAGGAGTGTACTCGGTGGGAGCCGCAGTCCACCCGATCCAGGAAGAAGGAACGTGCTCGGTGGGAGCCACAGCCCACCCGATTAAGGAATACAAAAACTGCTCGGAGGAGCCAGTAACAAACAAAACTGAGAAAAAAAGACTGAAAAGTTGGGCCAAAAAAGCATTCCAAGGGAAATGGAAGCATGCGAACAAGAAAGCGCGCAAGTAGGAAATGAACAAGGGGTCGCTGGACTCATCGCTGGGAGTCATCGCAAGAAAAGAAAAGGTAAAGAACCTCTAAGAAAAACAATAAAAAGCCCAAGCCACATCTGGAAGAAAATAGGGCACGTAAAACAAGTCAGGCCTATTGAAACGTGTCGTGTTGAAACCAGTGCAATAGCAGCCTTACCAACGTGGAAGTATAAAGTAAATGCCTTTAATACTCAGAGTAGCCATACAACTGAAGAAGTGCAGAATATGTTGTTTCAAGCACCCGGAACTGAGATATATAAACCGGCCCTGCTTGTAAGAGGCCAAGTGGTGGAATTAGACAGACCAAAGAAGGACTTTTCAAATTTTCTGGCAAAAACAAGAAATTATTATAATTCACATCTGCAAACATTTAGAGAAGCAGATCTCACTAGAGCTAGCCACAGAGTCCCTGGCCTAACCCTGTTGAGTGATAACTTAAAATTCCCATATAACCCTAGCCCGATGGGAACACCATGGATCTTTAATATGGTCCAGATGGAAATAAAGAATAAGCTAGTTACATTCAAGTGGGGCCCAAACTATGAAGAACCTCACCAAACAGAGTACTGTGAGATCTCTCTGGGAGGACTGATAATTTGGGCTACAAGCCCAACACTGAGAACCAAAATCAACAAGAGAATAGCAGAACCAGAACGAGTGGTGATTGAAAACACTCAGTTACCCCTAAAAATGTTGTATGATCGAGTCCAAACTCCACTCGACAAGTGGAATTCACATCCTGTACGAGCGGCAAACAGAGTAAAAGTATCTTACAGAGGGCACCCGCTGATCAGCCTGACAACAGCGCTGACAGAGATGGGAGAAGCCTACGACCAAGAGAAGGCCGCAAGAGAGGAGCTGGTGGGGCGAGTAATGGGAGAAGCAATGGAAAGATACAGTGATTGGGATGAAATGATTAGCTATCTTGGTGATCAGCTTGAGCCAATGGAGGGACCCCTAGGAGAACCCTCTGAATGGTCGGTCAGACAATGGAAGTGGGTGTGGC